TGTATGACCACTCTACTGTCAGTGTGTTATGTATGACCACTCTACTGTCAGTGTGTTATGTATGACCACTCTACTGTCAGTGTGTTATGTATGACCACTCTACTGGCAATGTGTCAGTGGGTTGTATTTTATTGCCTTTCGAGTTTGTTACCTTCAGGTCTTTCTGATTACTCTACTGTCATTGTGTCAGCGTGTCAGCGTGTCAGTGTGTCGGTGTGTCGCGTTTTATCGCCCTCAGGTGTGTTACCTCGAGGTCAATCTAACCACCCTACTATCAGTGTGTCAGTGTCTCAGTGTGTCATATTTTTTCGGCCCTAGGTGTGTTACCCCCCGGTCAATCTAACTACTCTACTGTCAGTGTGTCAGCGTGTCGGTGTGTAAGTGTGTCAGTGTTTCATATTTTATCGTCCCTAGGTGTGTTATCCCCAGGTCAATCTAACAACTCTACTGTCAGTGTGTCTGTGTGTCAGTGTGTCCGTGTGTCATATTTTATCGTCCCTAGGTGTGTTATCCCCAGGTCAATCTAACAGCTCTACTGTCAGTGTGTCAGTGTGTCAGTGTGTTGTATTATATCGCCCTCAGGTGTGTTACCTCCAGGTCTACTTGACCACTCTACTGGGCATCACGTCTTTCGGTGTGCTCGTCTCGGTGGTCGTTCTCCGGATACACCACAGGTCACCGGAAGTTCCGGTTGGCCTGAAAACGGCCGCCATTGTCAGGTGAGATTTTTTTTTAAAGAAAGTTCAAAACTGTTGTCATTTTCACAGCATACGATGTCGATACGCGTACATGTGTCCAACTCATTGGAGGCGCTCTTTCTGGACTTTTGACGAAGGATTTATTTTATTTTTGTTTGGTTGGATTTTTTGTGGAAGGGGTGGTTTTATTTTTGTTTGTTTGTTTATTTTGTTTGTTTGTTTGTTTGTTGTTTTGAGAGTTTATGTAAGTTTTACGGCGCTGGAAACTGCATAAGCATGCGAGACACAAGTTTTTTTTTTTAATCCTCATTAGCTCGTAGTAAGGTCTTTACACAGAGGCATTTCCAGTTATAGTAGAATTTTAGAATTTTTTTTTTAATTTTGCCCTGGTGGTGGCTGAAGCATACGACGACATCTGAAAACTGGAGATTATGGGAGTATAGTTTCGCTAGCCATGAAGTTTGTTTGTTTGTTTGTTTGTTTGATTGTTTGTTTGTTGTTTTTTGTTATTTTCTTTTCTTTTTTAAATTTTGTTTATTTTATTTAAAACTGTGAAAGGCAGGTAACAACTGGTATCCTTTGAAATATAATGCAAATTCATGTTTCGTATTTGTGCCTGACAGTTCGAAATTTGTCTCAAGATTGACTTTAGCTTTGGTTTGCTACTGATCGGTCATAAGTATGTGTCCGATACGCTGTCAAAGAGTTAATACACCAGTATAAAGTGTGACCCTTGCGGTATGCCTATTTGATATTGCTTGTTTTACATGTACTCTCCTATCGACACAGTTTAGATGTAGATCATTTAACGTGACGGGCTTCTAGCCCTCGCTATCAGGGCCACTCCGGACTGGGAGAAATACAACATCCCAGCGAAAAGACCGAGAAACGCAGTAAATGTTTTCTCCCCATTTGGAAATTGAACTATGGTCTCCTGCGTGCGACAGAGAAGCACCTGATCACTACATCACAGATGCCAGTAAATATACTTCTTCACTGTGACCTGTGAGAAAGGGAGAAGCACGTCGACACAGATTAGATGTTGGTCGACAAGTCAGTCGCCAAACGGGGGGAAACATGTAGATCCATTAACTATATGCCTGCCCAGTGGCTGAAGCTCATAAAAATAAGATTTAATATTCTTTTATTTGCCTATTCTTAGGCAGGTGGCCCCAAAATTCTACGGGAGTCGGGGGGTGGGGGTGGGGGGGGCATGTGGTGAACAGTAGTCTTCGAACTAGAGACTGGGGTTGCCATTTATTTAGAGAAGAAGAAGAAGAAGAAGAAGAAGAAGAAGAAGAAGAAGAAGAAGAAGAAG